GAAAGACAGGCAGGCAGAAGAGGGCTGGGCACAGAGCCTGGGGGAGAAGGGTCTTAAATCTCCCACAAGAACTCCAAGGATGCTCAATGTGCAGGACTGGCTGCCGGCATCCCTCTGAGTTTCTGACTGCCGCTTCAAACCTCAGAAGCAGCTGATTCACGTGGCGGAGCTGCAGGGCTCCACATCAGCTGGTGAAGAGTATATCTCCCTCTGCCCACCCAGCCTGGAATTCCTCCTCCTGAACCCAGCGTCACAGAGGGACCCCTTTATGTCTTTATGTCTCCATCTTGAAATCTTTTTTCAGAATTTTCATGTGCATTCTCCAGTTGCTTTCCAAGCAGCCCCATCTTGGCAATCAATGATTCTAATTTTGAAGTATCAGAAATATTGCTTTGAAACTATTTGAGTTTACTTGAGGGCAGACTTTTTATTTCACAAGCCTAATGCAACTTCTGGAATTTAAAATGAAAGCTGTAGCCAAACTTGCACAACCTGCTGGTGGGAGAGTACTAACTGATATGATCTTTCTGGAGGGGAATTTGACAAAATTTTCTCCATCCGTTTAGGATACAGAAAGTCACAGCAGATTGTCATTCTGACCCTGGCAATGAGAACAAGTAGGATAAGCTAAAAAAAGAGAGGGGTTTGAAACCCACCAAAGAACTGAGGGGACAAATAAACTAAACTCCAGAAAGGACCAGCCACTCCTCACAGAGAAAACACCCATGACTCCTTTCACCCTTGCGGAGTCTTGGGAAGAGAAGCAGATTCACTCTACCCAGGGGCATGGAGAAAACAAGCGATTGCTTAGTAGCCACGTGGACCGATCCCGTGGATTTGCATCCCCAGAGCCTCAGTCACAGAGCGAGTCTGCACCCGTCCTCGTGGGCCTTCACACGTTGCACAGGAAGCACCCCAAAGCTGGGAGTGAGGCAGGAGAGCTGTGTGATATGCCCCGAGGGATGCAGGGTCTTCCCTCAGTGTCAGGCAGCTGCTCACCGTGCCTGAGTACAGACCAGCGGCAAACCCCTCTGAAGCATACGGGGCCCTCACCGAGTGCACCTCAGCAGCCCACTGCAACTGCAGGCAGGGCAGCAGGGCGGAGGGCGACCTCCTAAGGTGCACGAAGCTAGCAGCTGAGCTGGAGGACAAAGAGAGCTCCCCAGAAACCCTCCAAAAGTGGCAGGAGGGCTGGAAAGCAGAGAGCCCGCCACAGGATGCCAAGCTGGCAGCTGGACTCTGAAGCAGAGATGGCTGGAGTCTCAGATCGCAAGGCCTGTTGAAGGGAAGCATTTGAAACAAGGGGTCACGTGAATCTAACCAAAACCGCAACCAAATCCAGACACAGCTCAACTGAGAAATTAAACTGAGCCAGCCCACCTCACCAGCAGCCTGAGCAGAAGGGGCACTCCTTTTTCTGGTGGTAAATATGATTTACTTCTGTCTCTACTCTTTTTTACACAAATGTCTGGTGTTAAATCCTTTTAAAATTGCAGGACAAGTAAACAAAGAAAAGGTGATCTGATCAAGAGCAAAAAAGAATCATGGAAGACCCACAGAGAGAACAGATGTAGAAACGATCAGGTATTTAATCCAAGAATGACAAATATGTTAAAGAGATTAAGGGAAAACTGACAAAATGCTGAACACTAGGGAATTTCAGCAGAGAAGTGGAAACTATTTTTTTAAAGCACATGAAAAAGCTAGAAATTAAAAATACAGTATCAAAGCGAAGAGCTCATTTAATTTGTTTAACAGCAGAACTGTACACAGTAGAAGAAAGGACTAGTGAATAGAAAGTCAGGTCAACAGAAATTATTCAAACTGAAACATAAACATAAAGCAAAAAACATCTTAAAAGGAAACAGGGTGTCTAACATCTGTGGCTCACAGATTCACCCATGAATTGTGCTTTCTTTAATATGAGTCATATAAGTACATATCTACACGTGTGTGTGCATGTATGACGTGTATGAGAGACAGGCCAGCCAAACACTTAATGGTGACCAACTCGGGAGAGAAAAGGGGTGCTAGGAGACATTACACATGTATGTATATAATTTTTATTTAAATATATTTGTTTCTATATATATAATTTTTATTTAGAAAAGAAAAAAATAATTCAGTACTTTAAAAAAAACATAAATAAAAGGCAAATGACAAATGAAAAAAGATACTGATGGCACATAAGGCAGATAAAGGATTAATATTTTTAATACAGAGAGCTCATACAAATAACTAAAAAGACCAACCCACAATGGGTAAATGGGCAAAGGACATGAACAGGCAGCTGACAAAAGAAAGACATAAACCTGATGAACTTGACAATCAAAGTTAACCTCACCATTAGAGAAATGCAGATTAAAATCACAACAGAAGGGCTTCCCTGGTGGCACGGTGGTTGAGAGTCCGCGTGCCGATGCAGGAGACATGGGTTCGTGCCCCAGTCCGGGAAGATCCCCCATGCCGCGGAGCGGCTGGGCCCGTGAGCCACGGCCACTGAGCCTGCGCGTCCGCAGCCTGTGCTCCGCAACGGGAGAGGCCACAACAGTGAGAGGCCCACGTACTACAAAAAACAAACAAACAAACAAAAATCACAACAGAATATTGTTTATGCATATCAAATGGACAAAATGTAAGAGATAATATTCTGTGTTAGGATATTCAGAAACAAGTACTTGTAAATATTACTTGTGGGGACGTGCAGTACAAGCTTCCAAAAGGCAATTTGGTGGTGCTCACGAGCCTTAAGAGTGTGGATGCCCTTTAATCCAGTAATCCCACTTCGCTCCATTCTTCTTTGCATTGTCAGAAAGCTAGTTAAACTAAGATACATCCAAAGTATACTCTAGGCGTGGAGCTATTGGGCTGGAAGATTTATTATGGATGATAAGTGTGTTGGAAATTGCCAGTTATCCCTCAACATCCATTCTCCCCTCTTTCCTGAGATTTGGACAGATGCATGGCCTACCTGAAATAGTCTCTCTGGTAGATGCCTGTGGCCTCTCACTGATGCAGGTGAGCACAGGTGGCAAGCGTGACTTCTGACTAGAATGCCTTTCTCCCGGTCCATCCTCTCACTACGTCCCACTGAGTCCTTCCAGTTCCTCAGGCTGTGCACTCATAGCGCTTTGTACGTGCTTCTGGACCGGCACTGGTATTGTTCTGCTGGAATTCCTCCTCTCCCTCTCAAGACTGTGGGATCCTCCAGGGCAGACCCTCTACCGGACCCGTCGCTTTATCCTCCGTCCCTGTGACAGTTCTTGTCACTTATTAGGGCTCAGAAAATGTTTGTGAAGGAAGGGAGGGAGGGAGGAATGAACAAATGAAAAGACACATTTTGGGGAAATTATAATGTCAAATTTTATTGCTTTAAAACTGAGTGATCCAAATAAGTTAAAACTTTACGTCCACACAAAAATCTGCACGCAAATGTCTACAGCAGCTTTATTCATAATTGCCAAGGCATGGGAGCAACCAAGATGTCCTTCAGTAGTGAATAAACTGTTTTTACATCCATACAAGAGAATATTATTCAGAGAAAAAAAGAAATGAACTATCACATCATGAAAAGACATGAAGGAGCCTTAAGTGTATATTGCTAAGTGAAAGAAGCCAATGTGAAAATGCTATGGACTGTATGATTCCAACTAAATGACATTCTGAAAAAGGCAAAACTACGGAGACAGTAAGAAGACCAATGGTTGCCTGAGACTGTGGCGGGGAGGGATGAATAGGCAGAGTACAGAGGATTCTTAGGGCAGTGAAACTACTCTGTTTGAAGCAGTAACAGTAGACACATGTCATCATACGTTTTATCAAAACCCAAAGAACGTACAACACAAAGAGTGTGAACTCTAATAATGTGTCAATAATGGCTCATCAATTCTAATGAATGTACCACACTAGTGCCAATGCTGGTAATAAGGGAAACTGGGGATGGGGAGTGAAGAGGTGTATGGGAATTCTCTGTACTTTAGCTCAGTTTTTCTGTAAACCTAAAACTACTCAGGGAGTTCCCTGGCAGTACAGTGGTTAGAACTCGGCACTCTCACTGCCGTGGCCCAGGGTCTATCCCTGGTCAGGGAACTAAGATCCCACAAGCCACACAGTACGGCAAAAAAAAAAAAAAAAAAAACCTACTCGAAAAATATAGTCTATTAATTAAGAAAAAACTGAGGAGTGAGGCAGTATACTAGATAACATAGTAGTTAATTCCATGGATCCTGGAATCACACTGTCTGGGTACAAATCTCAACCCTGCTACCTAAAAGCTATGCAACTTTTGGGCAAGTAGCTTGATAAACCTGTATCTCAGATTCCCCATAAAGAAAACTGGGACAATAACAGAATTTATCTCACAGCTTTACTGTGAGGATTAAATGTCATGTGAGGTCTTTGTACAGAGTCTAGTACATACTAAACATACATAATGATATCTACTGTTAGTATCATTTGCTCAGGAATACTCACATGAAGAAGGGCTGAACATAGTTTGGGAACCACTCCTTGAATACACTCTACATGGTGAAGAGTGGGGTCTTAAATGCGTGGAGTTTTGTGTGTGAGGATACAAAGTATGCCAATCTGGTACAACTGCCATTTTGCACATTAAATCCCTGTGATATTTTTTTTAAAAGTAGGTTACATTATCTTCAAACACATCCTACAAATGTGGCCAACCTCCTATCTATTCCTCTTCTGAGAGGGCAGCTGGAGACTGTAAAAATGCCGCTAGTCATGACCTTCTTGCCAATGTTTCAAAGACTACTCTTAAAGGGAACACAGAATTGTGATTTTAGACTCACTTTTATAGCAGATCCAATAATCTTCAAAAATGGGACAACAAAGAGGCATCTGGATAGGAAAACCCACCTGCACCTCAACTACCAGTGGCTCATTTCTTGGCGGGGTGGGCAGCAGGGGTGGAGAGTTTGGGTACTCTGAGCTCTCCTGAAGCGCCTCGCCGCACATCCAACACACAGTCGGAGACACAGCTGGGGAAAACAGCACCAAATGGTGGGGTAAGGACCTCTGAAAATCAGCTCCAGAACAGTAATGAGAACACTGGCAAACACTGTCGGAATCAGCTGTTTCAGAACTCTGGGGATTAACCAGAGGTTGGCGGCAATCTGGGGAGTGCTTACGCAGAGATGCCAGAGTCTCAGAATGAACACCAAGCTTTACGGCATTTTAACTTCTCCTATTCCTATCTCCACTCACCCCCAAATCTGCAATAGCCTTGAAACCAACATCCTACAATCACAGTGAAAACCCAGCAGCCTGCCAGTCACTGGAAGGGAAAGAACAGGGTTGAAACTCCTTCAAAGCCCCATTATCAGAAAATTTTCATTATATGACTTACCTCCCTGAAAGACCCCTCTCACAAGGCTGTCTTTATTAGAACTGATTCAGAGCTTGCCCAGTGAGAACAAGCTATTGTCAAAAGGCATTTGTTGAAAAAAATTCAGGGGCAATTGTTTAAAATTTTAGCTGCCTGAGCGGGTGGATAACAGACAGAGCAAATAATAGCCTAACCAAAAAGCTTAAACTGAAAAGCTGGCGAGTGAGACGTCCATAGGGGCTTTGAGAAGCTCCCACACATTCCTGGGAATCTAGAAGGCTGTGAGCATGTCCAGGGCTATGTGCTTGCCTAGGAAAGACCTGAGAAGGCCCTAAGCTCCCAGCTCTGGCTGACCTTGAGGCTCTGCACAAGCAGGAGGTGGAGGCTGAGGCTATAAACTTCCTGGCTGAGTGTTGACAGAATGCTCCAACACACACCAAGAGCCCCTCGGCAAAGACTGGAAAACTGTTGTGTCCAGGCATTTAAGGAAAGCTCTGTCCCATCACACACTGACCAATAAGCTAACCAGTCAGGGACTTCAGTGGCCACACGTGACAAACAATACAGACCTCACAAAGTTAATTTAGAAAAGTCACTAAACAAACAAATCGTGGAAAGGAGGGAGAATAAGATTTTGAGAACTGCCACATTCTTAAAATGTTTTCAACAAAGATTTTATGAGATATGCAACAAAAAAAAGTATGGCCCACACATACCTATCTTCAGAAACCATACGAGCAAGAAAAGAGTGGAATGAAACATTTAACCTGTCAAAAGGAAAAAAAAAAAAAAAACCCCACCAACCTAGAATTCTGTATCCAGCAAAACAGCCTTCCGATTTAAAGACAAATAAAGACTTGATCATACAAACAAAAATTGAGGAAATGTCACCAGCAGACCTGCTTGTAAGCAGACCTGCTTGCAAGAATTACTAAAATAACTTCTTCAGAGAGAAGAAAAAATCATATGGGTCAGAAACTCAGACCTACATAAAGAAAGAGCATTAGAGAAAGAATAAATGAAGGCAAAATAAACATATATACACCTAATAACAGAGCCCCAATATATATGAAGTAAAAACTGGTGAACTGAAAGGAGAAACAGACACTTCAACAACAATAGCTGAAGACTTCAGTGCTGTCAGTACGGACACAACAATTAGCCAGAAGATTAACGAGGAAACAGAACACTTGAACAACGCTTTAAACCAATTAGATCTAACAGACATCTATAGAACACTCCACCCAACAACGGTAGAATACACCTTCTTCTCAAGTGGACGTGGAACATTCTCCAGGATAGACCATTTGTTAGGCCATAACACAAGTCTCAATAAATTTAAAAGGACTGAAAACATCAAAGTATGTTCTCCAACCACACGGGAATGAAATCAGAAATAAGTATCAGAAAAATGAGGCAATTCGCAAATATATGGAAATTAAACAACACACTCTTAAATAACCAATGAGAAATTAGCAAATACTTTTAGATGAATGAAAATGAAGGCACAACATACCAGAACTTATGGGATGCAGCTAAAGCAGTGCTTAGAGTAAAAATTATAGCTTTAAATGTCTATATTAAAAAGGGAAATTTCAAATTAATAATTTAACCTTCTTCCTCAAGAAACTAGAAAAATAAGAGTAAACTAACCCCAAAGTGAGGAGAATGAAGGAAATAATGAAGATTAGAGCAGAAATAAATAAAATCAAATTTAGAAAAACAATAGAGAAAGCCAACAAAATTAAAAGTTAGCTCTTTAAAAGATCTGCAAACTGCCAAATTTTTAGCTAGACTGACCAGGAAAAAGTGAGAAACACTCAAATTACTAAAATCAAGAATGAAAGAGAAGACATTACTATTGACCTCACCAAAAAAAAAGGATTCTAAGGGAATACTATGAACAATTAAATTGTATGCCAACAAATTAGATAACCTACATGAAATGGAAAATTCTTTAAAAAATGCAAGCTACTGAACCTGACTAAAAAGGAAACAGAAAATCTGAATAGACCTAAAACAAAAGACTGAATTAGCAGTCAAAAAACTTCTTGCAAAAAAACCCAGGACCAGATGGGTTCTCTGGTGAATTCTACCGAGTATTTAAAGAATAATAATTAAAACCAATTCTTCAAAAACTCTTCCAAAAAACAGAAAAGGAGAGAACACTTCCCAACACATTCTATGAGGCCAGTATGACATCAATACCAAAACCAGACAAAGACACCAAAAGAGAAAGCTAAAGGCTAATATTCCTTATGAATACAGGAAATATCCTCAACAAAGCACAAACGTACTGAATCCAGAAACATTAAAAAGAATTAGACATCATGACCAAGTGAGATTTATATCAGGAATGCAAGCATGGCTGAACATAGGTGGTCACAAGGCACCGAGCTGATCTCCCTGTGCTATGCGGCTGCTTCCCACTAGCTATCTAGTCTACCAAATGTAAATTAGATAGCTAGTGGGAAGCAGACGCATAGCACAGGGGAGATCAGCTCCGTGCTTTGTGACCACCTAGAGGGGTGGGATAGGGAGGGTGGAAGGGAGATGCAAGAGGGAGGGGATATGGGGATATATGTGTACATATAGCTGATTCACTTTGTTATGCAGCAGAAACTAACACAACATTGTAAAGCAATTACACTCCAATAAAGATGTTAAAAAAAATTAAAAATTAAATTAAAATATATGCCCCTAAAAAAAAAAAATGAATGTAATACCACATTAATAGAATCAAGAAAAAACACATGATTGGGGCTTCCCTGGTGGCGCAGTGCTTGAGGGTCCGCCTGCCGTTGCAGGAGACGCGGGTTCGTGCCCCGTTTCGGGAGGATCCCGCGTGCCGCGGAGCGGCTGGGCCCGTGAGCCATGGCCGTTGGGCCTGCGCGTCCAGAGCCTGTGCTCCGCAAATGGGAGAGGCCACAACAGTGAGAGGCCCGCATAACGCAAGGAAAAAAAAAAAAAGAAAAAACACATGATCAACTCAACTGATGCAGAAAAAGCATTTCACAAAATCCTACACCCTTTCACGATAAAAACACTCAATGAACTAGAAATAGAAGGGAACTTCCTTGGCCTGACAAAGGGCATCCAGTGAAAACCAATAGCTAACATCATACGTAATGATAAAAGAATAAAGGATAAAAGTTTTCCGCTAAGATCAGGAACAAGACAAGGATGTCTATTCAACATTGTACTGAAGGTTCTAGCCAGGGCAACTAGGCAAGAAAATAAATAAAAGGTATCCAGATTGGAGACTAATAAGTAAAACTATCTCTATATGCTGATAATATGACTTTGTACGTATAAAATCCTTGGGAACACACACATAAACACACACAAAAACACACAAACACACACACCTATTAGAAATAATAAACAAGTTCAGTAAGGTGTAGGATACAAGATCAATATACAAAAATCATTTAAAACTTAAAAATATATATATACAAAAATCAATTGTAGTTCTACACAACTGCAATGAACACACTGAAAAGAAAATTAAGAAAACAATTCCATGTACAATAGTATCAAAAAGAATAAAATACTTAAGAATAAACTTAACAAAAAGTACACAATTCGTACACTGAAACTACAAAGTATCACTGAAAAGAAATTAAAGAAGATCTAAATAAACAGAAAGACATCCCATGTTTATGGATAAGATTATAATACTCCTCAAACTGACTGACAGATTCAATTTAATGCTCATCAAAATCTCAGCTGCCTTTTTTGCTGAAATTGACAAGTTTAGCCTAAAATTCATATAGAAATTTAAGAGATTCAGTATAGCCAAAACAATCTTTAAAAAACAGAAACAGGACTTACACTTCCTGATTTCAAAATTTACTACAAAGCAACAGTAGTCAAGACAGTGTGGTGCTGGCATAAGGTCAGACATACAGATCAATGGGATAGAATGGAGAATCTGGAAACAAATCCTTAAATGTAGCATTAACCGATTTTTGACAAGGGCTGCAAGATCATTCAATGCAGAAAGAATAGTCTTTTCAACAAATGGTGCTGGGACAACTGGATATCCACATTCAAAAGAATGAAACTGGATCCCCAATTCATACCATATAAAAAAATTAACTCAAAATCAACCAAAGACCTAAATTTAAGAACTGAAGCTAGAGAGATTGGTTCAAGATGGCAGAGTAGAAGGATGTGCGCTTACTCCCTCTTGTGAGAGCACCAGAATCACAACTAACTGCTGAACAATCATTGACAGGAAGACACTGGAACTCACCAAAAAAGAT